AAAAGTTTTCTAAGGTTCTTTTGGTACAGAATTATTAATTCTTTCTTTTTGGTCACCTTGCCTCAGTGGGAAACGGGCGATGTGTTACAAAAATATATATACATGTATATTATATAAATAAATGCACAACTTATCATTATATTCATAACTAAGTGCTTAAATAAATACCCAGAGATTAATGAGCATTCCTCTGAGCCATACTTTAACTTACATCTCAAGTGTACTTCATATTATCCTGTTGGCACTCATCAAAGTGTAAACTCATGCTTTTTACTTAAGTGATAATTGAACAACGAACAATTATATATGGTTTTTGTGGGTAATCAGCTTGTAAACACTTCAACAGTCTATACTGTACTGATACTAACACAAGTAAACACTTGACTGAGTATTTTGTTGCATTCTTCAAATCCTGTTTTGTCTTGTCAATTTATGTATATACAGTATGTATATGTCATGCTGAATAGGTAAAACTTGCGATTTAGGCTTGAGTAGCAATGCTCTCTTGCCGAATAAGGTAAGCGAAAATTTGTCTATGCAATAATTTCACAAAAATCATTCGGAACCTAATGAAAAATATATATTTCATTGGATTTGTTTATTATTAAATTATTGTAAACTATTATTTTTTTATATTAAAGTTTACAAAAAAATAATTTAATAATAAACAAGTACAATGAAATATACTTTTTTTAGTTAGGTTCAGAATGAGTTTTGCGAAATTATTGCATACACAAAATTTTGCTTACCTCATTCGGCAAGAGAGCATTGCTATTTAAGCCAAAATTGCAAGTTTTGCTTATTCGGCATGGCATTTACATACGGTATACAGCCTCTCCTCAATGTACTTGTTTACTAACACCTCAGACTTACAATGGGCTCTCTCACCAATATTCATACCTAAAAAATGTAGATGAGAGCTGATTTCCTCTATGCTGTTTATTTCAATATACTGTACACAACTGTATAAACATTACCAATATAGTATGCTACTCACTTAGCAACGAATTTGTTTAACGACGTGGTCTTAGGAACAGAACTCCGTCGTTAAGTGAGAAACTGTATATGTACATAAATATACTTATGTAAATTTATCTGAAATATATTTAGTTGGATTAGGCTAAATTAAATTGCACTTGTTATAATAAGGTTAGGAAAGTTTCTTAGGTTCTTCTTGTACAAAATTACTAATTTTTACATTAACATAAATAAAAAAAAAAAAAATATATCTTTAAATGTAAAAGAGAAAATTTTAGAAAGGGCTTAATTTTAAATGTTTTTTGCTAACTGCCAATTTTACCTATTCAGCATGACATATATATTTAACATGTCGGCTGTCTTCCACTGAGGCAGGGTGACCTAAAAAAGAAGAACCACTTTCACCATCATTTACACACAATCACCGTCTTTGCAAATGCGCTCGGACATGGCAGTTTGTATGTCACTCCAAACAGCCATTATACCAAAACCCCTCCTTTAAAGTGCAGGCATTGTACTTTCCACCTCCAGGACTCAAGTCTGGTTAACTGATTTTCCTGAGTCCCTTCACAAAATATTACCTTGCTCACACTCCAACAGCTCGTCAGGTCCCCAAAACCATTCGTCTCCATTCTAATACACATATGCCTGCTGCATGTCAAAGCTCCTTACACACAAAGCTTCTTTTACCCCCCTCACCTCCCTCCATCCTTTCCTAGGATGACCCCTACCCCTCCAGCTCAGATTTATACACCCTCCAAGTCATCCTACACGTATTTTGCTCCATCCTCTCTAAATGACCAAACCACCTCAACAACCCCTCTTCAGCCCTCTGAATAATACTTTTTAGTAACTCCACACAGTGACAATCACGCATAAACTTGGCCATGGCGCTTACACAGTGATGATGACCAGGGGCAAATGTACATGTGAATGTACATAAATTATGATACATTGGCCAATCTGTTTTCATTATGGGCTTCTCCAGGTGTTCTTGGCTGTAAAATAAAAGAAACTGAGTCCATGACTAAAAGCTGAAGCCAGAGTAATGGTACAATATTATGACCATCAGGCATACATCTTCAAGCAATTTGGAGATGACATGAAAAAAGTTAGTAGTAGTTGTACAAGAGGTGGTCAACTCTGGGAACTTTAGAATGATAAAAAAATCAAGAAATGTTCAGTAAGAGGTAACTTGCAACCTTACAGTAGTCAATGTTCTTGCATCTCAAGGAAGCTCTGTGATATGAAAGTTTGCTGACTCTCTTTCCCATTGCTCATCAGCCCAGACATTCAGTCATCCAATAAAAAACAGCTTTTCCAATGTGCAGAGCCAGACACCTGTACAGAAGTTCATGCTGATGGATTCAATGTGTAGAGCCAGACACCTGTACAGAAGTTCATGCTGATGGATTCACTGTGCAGAGCCAGACACCTGTACAGAAGTTCATGCTGATGGATTCAATGTGTAAAGCCAGACACCTGTACAGAAGTTCATGCTGATGGATTCACTGTGCAGAGCCAGACACCTGTACAGAAGTTCATGCTGATGGATTCAATGTGTAAAGCCAGACACCTGTACAGAAGTTCATGCTGATGGATTCAATGTGTAGAGCCAGACACTTGTACAGAAATTCATGTTGATGGATACAGTTAATCTGATTGCCTTAAACAGCCAATGTGGCAATAAGGACCCCAACTGCAATGTTATAGATTATATTTAGAATCTGCAGTATTTGCCATCTCCAATACTACTTACTATTCTATGGATCACTTACAATCTCCACAGTTTTAGCAAGGCTTACCTGGAGTTTACCCGGAGAGGGTTTCGGGGGTCAACGGCCCTACGGCCCGGTCTGAGACCAGGCCTCATGGTGGATCAGGGTCTGATCAACCAGGCTGTTACTGCTGGCTGCATGCAAGCTGACGTACAAACCACAGCCCAGTTGGTCAGGTACTAACTTTAGGTGCCTGTCCACTGCCTTCTTGAAGACAGCCAGGGGTCTATTGGTAATCCCCCTTACGTATGCTGGGAGGCAATTGAACAGTCTTAGGCCCCAGACACTTGTTGTGTTGTCTCTCAGTGTACTCGTGGCACCCCTGCTTTTCATTGGGGAATGTTGCATCTCCTGCCGAGTCTTTTGCTTTCATATGGAGTGATTTTCGCGTGCAGGTTTGGTACCAATCCCTCCAGGATCTTCCAAGTGTATATTATCATGTATCTCTCTCGCCTGAGTTTGAGGGAATACAGATCAAGGACCTTCAACCGTTCCCAGTAGTTTAGGTGCCTGATTGCACTGATGTATGCCATGAAAGTTCTTGGTACACTCTCCAGGTCTGCAGTGTCACCAGCCTTGAAGGGGGCCGTTAGTGTACAACAGTATTCCAGCAAAGAGAGCACAAGTGATTTGAAGAGAATCATCATGGGCTTGGCATCCCTAGTTTTGAAGGTTCTCAATATCCATCCTATCTGCAGACACATTCATCACCTTCAAAACTACCATTAGAAAACATCTTATCTCCCTGATACACCCCATCAACTAACTACACGAATACCACCTGGTGGTTCACACTTACACTCACTCACAAATTTGACCATAAACAGAAATATTAATCTCAATCTTAAAATAATGAATCCTATGATACTCCAATACTGAAACTATGTACTGTGCCAAAACAAAAGCATTCACATTGCTAAACTCACAAACTAGTACTTAGTCACTTAGCCATAATACCAACTTACCTCATAATTTGTAATATTTTAAAATAAAGAATTAAACTAAGTCTGCCCGAAATGCCTAGCCATGCTAGGCGTTCTAGTGGTACACTCTGTAATCATTATTTAACTACATGTAAACCACACAACAACCAAATTCTGTAAATTCAACATTGTAATCTTTATAGAGAATAAACTTTGAATCATTTTCCTAGCGGATGAGGTACATACATTGTTGTGGTCTTTGAAGGCGAGATCCTCTGACATTATCGCTTCCAGGTCCTTCACATTACTTTTCCGCTCTATTGTATGGTTAGAATTTGTGGTATACCCTGACACATTTTTAATTTCTTCAAGTTTTTCATATCTGAGTAGTTGAAATTTCTCCTCGTTGAACTTCACATTGTTTTGAGTGGCCCATTCGAAGATTTGGTTGATGTCTGCTTGGAGTCTTGCAGTGTCTTCGATGGAGGTCACTGCCATGCTGATCCGGGTGTCATCCGCAAAGGAAGACACGGAGCTATGGCTTACATCTCTATGTCAGAAATGAGGATGAGGAATAGAATGGGAGCGAGTACTGTGCCTTGTAGAACAGAGCTTTTTACCATGGCTACCTGGGACTTTACTCTCTTTACTATTACTCTTTATGTTCTATTTAGCAGGAAGCTGTAGATCCATCTACCAACTTTTCCCATTATTCCTTTATCCCGCATTTTGTGTGCTATTACACCATGGTCACACTTGTCAAAAGCTTTTGCAAAGTCTGTGTATACTACATCTGTATTTTGTTTATCCTCCACAGCATCCAGGACCTTGTCATAGTGGTCCAGTAGCTGGGACAGGCAGGAGTGACCTGCTCTAAACCTATGTTGCCCTGGGTTGTGTAATTGATGGGTATCTAGGTGGTTGGCTATCTTGCTTCTTAGAACCCTCTCAGAGACTTTTATGATATGGGATGTTAGTGCTATCAGCCTGTAGTTCTTTGCAATTGCTTTACTGCCACTGAAATCACCTAACCTAAACTACTCAACTGGCTACTCATATATTACATGTTCTTTCACCTTTGGAGCACTCCCCAACCCTTATAACTGCCTATGTCATGTTATTTTCTGTATGAATTGAAATGTCTTTATTATTAAAATGTCATAGCCTGCACATTTTGTCTTATTTACATAATTGGTACATTTTACCACAGTATTACCAAACCAAGTTAGAGAAAATGGTTGTCAAGGACTCATACACAAAGCATTCATTCACTAAAAAATAAAATTGAGGAAGGGAAGTTTCTAGTAGGAATACTGTATGCTGATGATGTAAACTGAGTTTTATTTCATATAATCATGTCCACTACTGTATTAATACTGTGGGCAGTCAAACATATCCCTGAAAATAAAAATTTACATCCCCTTGCTTGCTAAATAACAAAAATCCAAGATCCATCAAGTCAGCTTTTATCTTCAATAAACTCACTAATAATAGGAGCTACAATTTCTGGATTGTTTAAATGCACATGGTGAGTACCTTCTACTTTCTTTAATATAAATTTTTTAGCTTTCTTTTCATAAATACTAATAATTTCATCATATAATTCTCTACTCTCATACAAGGGCCCATTTGATGCCTTAATGAGCAACAGCTCACACTGCAATCTATTTGCAAATGCCTTTTGTTGATCAAATGATGTTCCGAAGATACTTCCTACTTTTAACAATGGATCATAGTTGAAGGAGTACAGCCCATCAGCATGTTTTACTGACCCTCTCTTAAGTAAAACTTCAGCAGCTTCCTCTGTTAAAGAAAATCTATAAGACATGACCATCTTGTCTAACAAAGTTGTATATTCATAGCTTGGAGGCTCTCGGCCAATTTTGAGCTCTGCTTCCATGAAATCCAAAATTCCTCGAGCAGTTTTATCTGGCTGATCTGCGGCATCAACTGATAATGGTTTGATGAGGTCCACCATCACAATTTTTTTTACTTTCTCTGGAAATGCTCCTGCATACAACATTGCTGCAGCACCACCCAAGCTGTGGCCTATTATGTTCACCTGAAAATATATACGTACGTACAAATAATTCAGACACTGTTAGTCTAAAAACTGATTTAAAAAAATTTAAACTAAATAATTTTTTTATGTAGAATGGCCTGTGATATACACTGCACTGTATAATGTATATATAAGCCAGAGGACAAGTGAATTTATCATTGCTTCAAGGGGAATTACCTTGATGCTGATGAATAGCTTTTGATGCAAGGAATTGAGTTACCCTCCTTTTCTTTGGATCAAACCTGATTATCTCATACCTACCAGGTGTTGCTTGACCCTTACAGGTTTATCACTTACCCATGGATATACAGTGAACCCTTCATAAAACAGACTAATAGAGGGGAAGAGGTGCACGTTAGTGAAAATCTATTATAATGAAAGGTTTGACTAAGTGGATGAAGTCCACTTAATCGATCAACTGCCAGATACAGACGGACGCCCAATAAAACAGTCTTGATCAATTATACTGATGGAATACTGGACATACTTAGAATTAACTAGAGTACAATACGATACTGCACTACAGCATTGTACAATACATCTGTATCAAAGAAAGAGTTAGAAATACAGTACAGTCCAATAAGTAGAGGACTATACAGTAATTTGTTCTAACTTTTTCTGGCGAATAGGTGAGCTTACAGATGTACAATATTCCCATGCTTCAACCCTTGTATCTTGGGCTATTTTCATACACTTCCCAGGAATAACTGAAGAACCTTTTAGGCGAGGGTCCGGCGAGTCCACGTTCAATTCCCGGCAAGGGTAGAAACATTGGGTGTGTTTCCTTACACCAGTTGTCTATGTTACCCATCAGTAAAATGGGTACCTGGGTGTTAGTCAACTAGTGTAGGTTGCATAATGGGACAAAACTGACCTAATCTGCCAGAAATACTCTGCATAACAAGTGGCTTTCTATGTAGTAGTACATTGGAACCTCAAAAATCGAACTGCTCCCAACACGACCAATTTTGTAAGTGTATTTTTGTAAGTGCTTTTATAAGTGTATTTTTGAGGGTCTGAAATGGATTAATCTAATTTACATTATTCCTGATGGGAATAAATTCATTCGGTAAAGGCACTTGAACAGCCTTCTGGACCGAAGAAAGTTCGATATTTGAGGTTCCACTGTATGTCATTCATGTCAGCTAGGCCTGTATACCTTGTACATGTACTTGGAGAAATAAAGATATTGTTACTGTATATTATTATTACTGTCTACACTGTATTTTGTAGCATATTCTGTATGCTTTTTCTTACTTCCACAAATGTCACACACTGTTGGCTTTGCTATGCTATGCTCCTCACACACTCAGGCCATTGCAATACCAGCCTGCTTAACAGTCTCTGCTTAACAGTCAAAGTCACACACTTCTTCCTGGCACCATCACTTGCTTTAGAAACCCTTGTTAATAACACTATAGGTTACTTTAATAAAATTATTAGAAACAATATAAATAAAGGAAAACTGGAGACACAATAATGATGGTACGTGAGTATGTGCAGACAATAACAAACTGATGTGGGTCGAGTCACTAGCCCTGCTGCCCAGGAACAATGAAAATGGACATATCCAGGACAAAGCCCAGACTGGACAAACTTGCAATTAAGTGGAGTTAAACCATTTTATTGAGCATACAGCCAGACTGCACAGACATATGATACAACAGATTTGGTCCACTTCATTACTCTTTTAATTGAACACTCCATTCAGTGAATACATTGCATGTTTATCCAGCCAGATTTTTTGTCTTAGTTGATATCCACTTAATGGAAGTCTGCTCTATTCAGGGATAACTGCAATAAACAATAATAGTAATATACGTATATAATATATATAATAGTAGTACCAACACTCTTATATGGGTGTGAAGCTTGGGTTGTGAGTGCAGCAGCGAGGAGGCGGTTGGAGGCAGTGGAGACGTCCTGTCTAAGGGCAATGTGTGGTGTAAATATTATGCAGAAAATTCGGAGTGTGGAAATTAGAAGGTGTGGAGTTAATAAAAGTATTAGTCAGAGGGCTGAAGAGGGGTTGTTGAGGTGGTTTGGTCATTTAGAGAGAATGGATCAAAGTAGAATGACAGGGAGAGCGTATAAATCTGTAGGGGAAGGAAGGCGGGGTAGGGGTCGTCCTCGAAAAGGTTGGAAGGAAGGGGTAAGAGAGGTTTTGTGGGCGAGTGGCTTGGACTTCCAGCAGGTGTGCATGAGCGTGTTCGATAAGAGTGAATGGAGACGAATGGTATTTGGGACCTGACGATCTGTTGGAGTGTGAGCAGGGTAATATTTAGTGAAGGGAGTCAGGGCAACTGGTTATTTTTGTATAGCCAGACTTGAGTCCTGGAAATGGGAAGTACAATGCCTGCACTCTAAAGGAGTTTGGAGGGATATGTTGTGTATCTTTATACGTAGTATATGCTTCTAAACTGTTGTGTTCTGAGCACCTCTGCAAAAACAGTGATTATGTGTGAGTGAGGTGAAAGTGTTGAATGATGATGAAAATATTTTCTTTTTGGGGATTTTCTTTCTTTTTGGGTCACTCTGTCTCGGTGGGAGACGGCCGACTTGTTAAAAAAAAAAAAAAAAAAATTAGAAAATCTTGAGTCATGCTATCATAGCTCACATTTTCAACATTCTACGGTGTAAATTTTGCTTTTCACCTCCAATAAAAGCACACCATTTCCATTAAGACACCCCAAGGTAGAATTCATTTCCAATGGTGGTGCACGTTTCCATTAAGGAGCGCCATGGTAGACAGCTTGGAGACCTCTCACTGTGCAATGTATCTGTGTATGTACCATACAATTTTCACTCAGTGCACATCACTCAGTTTTTTCTTCTTTTCATCGCCCTATGCCTATTATGAAAAAAATAGATGTAATTGAAATGCTAAAGGGTGGTGCATTTGTGATGGAGATGGTACACATGTATAGTATTAGAGAATGAATGATTCAGTGAATTTGAAATGAGATGAAAATAAGGGCTTGTGTAATGAGTAATCCTCAATGTGACAGTGAAGTCAAGGTAAGTAGCCTACTTTCTTTTAACTGTCTGAATCTCATCCTCATATCCGACATAGACAAGGATGTCAGCCACAGCACCGTGTCTTCCTTTGCAGATGACACCCGAATCTGCATGACAGTGTCTTCCATTGCAGACACTGCAAGGCTCCAGGCGGACATCAACCAAATCTTTCAGTGGGCTGCAGAAAACAATATGAAGTTCAACGATGAGAAATTTCAATTACTCAGATATGGTAAACATGAGGAAATTAAATCTTCATCAGAGTACAAAACAAATTCTGGCCACGAAATAGAGCGAAACACCAACGTCAAAGACCTGGGAGTGATTATGTCGGAGGATCTCACCTTCAAGGACCATAACATTGTATCAATCGCATCTGCTAGAAAAATGACAGGATGGATAATGAGAACCTTCAAAACTAGGGAGGCCAAGCCCATGATGACACTCTTCAGGTCACTTGTTCTATCTAGGCTGGAATATTGCTGCACTCTAACAGAACCTTTCAAGGCAGGTGAAATTGCTGACCTAGAAAATGTACAGAGAACTTTCACGGCGCGCATAACGGAGATAAAACACCTCAATTACTGGGAGCGCTTGAGGTTTCTAAACCTGTATTCCCTGGAACGCAGGAGGGAGAGATACATGATTATATACACCTGGAAAATCCTAGAGGGACTAGTACCGAACTTGCACACGAAAATCACTCACTACGAAAGCAAAAGACTTGGCAGACGATGCACCATCCCCCCAATGAAAAGCAGGGGTGTCACTAGCACGTTAAGAGACCATACAATAAGTGTCAGGGGCCCGAGACTGTTCAACTGCCTCCCAGCACACATAAGGGGGATTACCAACAGACCCCTGGCAGTCTTCAAGCTGGCACTGGACAAGCACCTAAAGTCAGTTCCTGATCAGCCGGGCTGTGGCTCGTACGTTGGTTTGTGTGCAGCCAGCAGCAACAGCCTGGTTGATCAGGCGCTGATCCACCAGGAGGCCTGGTCACAGACCGGGCCGCGGGGGCGTTGACCCCCGAAACTCTCTCCAGGTAAACTCCAGAGTTCAGAGCATTTCACAGAGAATGTTCATCAACAAAATTAAGTAGAAAAATGTATTACTTTTTGAAGAATTGTGATAGTAAAAAAAATGGATGGGGTGGAGGGGGGGAAATTGGATTCTGAGGAACACAAACTTATTTTTCCCATATGTTTTTCCAGTCCATAAGTCATGAAGTCACTGGTGGCACAGATTTAGGAACATAACCTGCATGAGTTATTAATGGCAGTCATAATAACATCAACCTCTCATAGGGAAGTACTGGTAATACCGATAAGAAATATTAAATAAAATGAGCAGCGACTGGAAAGAAGGAGGTTTAATTTGACTTTTTTTCTGACTATCAGAGATGCACATGTAACAATGATTATTACAGATGACATATAAGAGAGATACAATATTACTGCAATGATTGTCATTAAGATGAATACAGCCTCTCTTCATTTAAAGATAGAGTTCCATTCCTGAGGCCACGTTGGTAAACAAATTCTTTGCTAAGCAAGGAGTATACTATAATGGTAGTGGGTTTGTGTCAACCATCTTTAATATTGTTTTAATGTCACCTTTACACCATTTATAACATTTTTAGTATATTTTTAAATGTTTATACAGTAGTGTACTGTATACTTTAATAAACAGAAAAGAGGAAATGAGCTCTAATATACATTATTTAGGTATGCATACTGGTCGGAGAGCCTGGCATCAGTCTGATTTGTCGGTAAATGAGTACGTCGCTAAGTGAGGAGAGGCTGTATGTAGGATGACAATAAAAGATTCTACAGTAGGTTGGTAGACAGCAACCACCCAGGGAGGTACTACCGTCCTGCCAAGTAAGTGTAAAACGAAAGCCTGTGATTGTTATACATGATGGTAGGATTGCTGATGTCTTTTGTCTGTCTCATAAATATGCAAGATTACAGGTATGTCTT